TTTCCCCACTTCTTTTTCAAATGCCCTCTGAAAGAACAACAAAGAAATAAATTAATAACAGATACTTTAGGGATATATGGGGACTTATTAACTCATTTCAGAACTCAGCAAGACAAAATTCACTTTTTATGTCCCCACCACATAGTGTGGGGCCATATTGTCGGCCTAGGCGCGTCCGTCTGTCCGTCCGTACGTCCGTCCGTCCGTAAGAAAGATAAGTAACATCGCAATCAAATCAAGACAATGAAAGAAGAAAATGAATGAAGAAACCAATGCAGCAACAACAAATGACGTCCGTCCGTCTGTCCGTCCGTCTGTCCGTACGTCCGGGAGTTTTCTCCAAAACCGCTACAGATATCACCTTCAAATTTTCAGGGATAACTTATGAGTGCATACAGATGTGGATGAAAAATTTTTAACTCGATACCTACTTCCTGTCGGCCATTTTGAAGTCAAATGCTAAAATCCTTGTCTGCAAACTTTAAGAAAAACGGCTTCACAGTTGCTTTTAAAACTTTAACATCTTGTTCAGCTCACTTCATTCTAGATCTGATTAGGTTTTGGACCTGTTAGCTCAGTCATGTCAGCCATTTTGAATGTCTTAAGAAAAGTTAGCGCACGATAATACTTTGTATCATATTGAATGGTGTTTTTGAGTTTTCATACTTTAACTATTTAGTAGCTTTATAAATAATTTCAGATCTACTTTGTTGTAAAAGCCTATGTTATTGTTAAAAGTAGTAATATGTGATAATTTTGTAAGGAGAAATCAGCAAAAACACATAATCACTTTTTTATTGTGAGCCATTTTGGATTTTTCCGTCCTAAAATCTTGTCTGTGAAGTCTTGTCTACGTGTTTTCAGGTGAACCGTTTGGTGGATCAATTTCAAATTTTCAGGGATGATTCTTAGTATAAAAATCTAGATCTGATTTGTTTTTTGGCATTCTGGGTAAATGTCAAGGCAGCCATTTTGTATTTTCCGTCCTAAAATCTTGTCTGTAAAGTCTTGTCTACGCGTTTTCAGGTGAACCGTTTGGTAGATCAATTTCAAATTTTCAGAGATGATTCTTAGTATGGAAATGTAGAACTGATTAGTTTTTTGGCATTCTGGGCAAATGTCAAGGCAGCCATTTTGGATTTTCCGTCCTAAAATCTTGTCTGTAAAGTCTTCTCTATGCATTTCTAGGTGAACCGTTCTGTAGATCAATTTCAAATTTTTGGGGATGATTCTTAGTATGAAAATCTAGATCTGATTAGTTTTTTGGCATTCTGGATTAATGTCAAGGCAGCCATTTTGGATTTTCCGTCTTAAAATCTTGCCTGTAAAGTCTTGTCTACGCGTTTTTAGGTGAACCGTTTGGTAGATCAATTTCAAATTTTCAGGGATGATTCTTAGTGTGAAAATCTACATCTGATTAGTTTTTTGGCATTCTGTGTAAATGTCATGGCAGCCATTTTGGATTTTCTGTCCTAAAATCTTGTCTGTAAAGTCTTGTCTACGCGTTTTCAGGTGAACCATTTGGTAGATCAATGTCATATTTTCAGGGATGATTCTTAGTATGAAAATCTAGGAACAGATTAGTTTTTTGACATTCTGGGTAAATGTCAAGGCAGCCATTTTGGATTTTCCATCGTAAAATCTTGTCTGTATAGTCTTGTTTACATGTTTTCTAGTTAACTGTGTGACGGATCAATTAAAAATTTTCAGGGGTGGTTCTTAGTTTGAAAATCTAGAACTGACTAAATTTTTGGCATTCTGGGTAAATTTTAAGATGGCCATTTTGGATTTTCCGTCCTCAAATTGTGTTGGTAAAGTCTTAGTCTACTCATTTTCAGGATAACCATTTGATGGGATCACCCACTGGTGGGGACATTTTGTACACATTTGTGTTCTTGTTTCTTTTTGGGGATCCATCACTAACCCAATTAGAAATGGATAATCTATTTTCACTGGTTGCGAATTATCTCATTGAAAACACAACCAGAATCTAAATATTTTCCTGCCTATGACCTATTTCCATTTTTCAACATACTACCCCCCCCCCCCCCCCCCAGGATATCAGCAGCCCTCCTATCTTTTGTTTCATTGCAAGGCATTCTACCATTTACAGGTGACATCCAGGTTAAGATGAATATTGTACTTTATTGTTTATTTATATAAGGGGACATCTAATGCTTACAGCACTTTGCCCCTTGTAATTGTATCTAAATGACTTGTGCTTACAATAAATATGAAAGATGATAAAAAACTAAATTTTTGGCATTCTGGGTAAATTTTAAGGTGGCCACTTTGGATTTTTTGTCCTCAAATTGTGTTGGTAAAGTCTTGTCTACTCATTTTCAGGATAACCATTTCACAGGATCACCACTTGGTGGGGACATTTTGTATGGGTGCACCCCAGTTGTCCGAAACCCAGTTGTCCGAAACCCAGTTGTCCGAAACCCAGTTGTCCGAAACCCAGTTGTCCGAAACCCAGTTGTCCGAAACCCAGTTGTCCGAAACCCAGGTGTCCGAAACCCAGGTGTCCGAAACCCAGGTGTCCGAAACCCACTTGTCCGAAGCCCATAACTCCGAAAAATATAGTCATAATTTACCAGAGAAAGGGGAGACGTACTAAGCTTAGGCCAGTTTCATGCCATGTATTTGGCCAAATTAATGGCATGGACGCATTCTGATGTTCATAGATCTCTCTCTCTCACTTTGAATTGCATCCATTGCACGCGTTACCAGAATGGCAGGAACGGGGGATTTATTTTACATTGTGATTCTAAAAAAAAGGTTATCAAAACACAATATATATTACGGAACAGTTTATCTTATCTTCTTCAATCTCTTTCATGTAGGCAAAATAAAATGAATCATTTTGAAACAGATAAAATAAGTTTACGCATATAGTACTTTAAGAATAAAACAGTATACATATTACGTTGTCAAAATATTTCGTCGCATTTAATTTCTTAGTCTCTGTATTTTATCAAATCGTAAAAGAACAAAACATTCTTAACTTAATCACTTGGGATCAACTGGAAACGAAGGCAGGCTGTCCTCGTATCAAAATGGATGTTCTCCCATTCGCAAGAAGTTTCATTTTCGCCATGTACTACTCACTTCATCCTTTTAATTCAATCTCTATTTCTTGAACAGAGTACGTAAATGAAGAATAAGTTTTGGTTTCAAAAGATGTACATGTCAACTTTACTAAATAAATGCCCACTGGCTTGGGAAAGCTATTTTTCCTTTTATGAACGCTCATCACCCATTGGAAAATGTTGTTCCCTCTCAAAAAAGGCCCATGGGCCATAAAGAAAATTGGTTTAAAAATTGTAGACCCCTATCTATGTATGTTGTGTAAACGCCATTTTACAATGAGAATAACATGATTTAACTTTGTTTGTTTGAACATCTATATCACCTGTATATGAACTTTCGTAGGCTAAACATTAAACAATTAACGTCTAGACTTAGCATATTTAGCCTAATTTTGCAATGATGTCAACGTTATTTCAATGTTATGTTGTGATTCGCAGAGGTTGCGACAACGAGATTCGTTTAAAAAAATTGTATTTTTCAAATAAGATCCCCTAATTTTCGGAGAACTGGGTTTCGGACAACTGGGTTTCGGAAAACTGGGTTTCGGAGAACTGGGTTTCGGACAACTGGGTTGACCCCATTTTGTACACATTTGTGTTCTTGTTTCAGGTTTTCTAGCAATATTCTGTCAGCTCTAGCTGTTAATTGGCAATTTGTTTGGTGTTTTTAGCTCACATGGTGAGCTTTTGCAATCACTCACTTGTCTGTCTGTCTGTCTCAGCGTCCGTCCGTCAACAATAGTGGCAGTTGAATTATAACCTCTGTCGACAGGATTCTTGTTTTAAGTTATTTCTGTTCAACATGGCCCCTATGACTCCTGGTTCAAAAGCGCGCCTTATTTCAAAATGGCCACCATTTTTGTCTCGCGAAATTCACTTTTGACCCATTTCCTAGCATTACAAATAATTTCAGGTGTTCTACATTGTAAAAATCCATGTCAATGTAAATTAGATGAGATATATGAAATAAATTTGTTACAAAAAATCAGCAAAAAAATATATCCATTTTTTTATTTTCAGCCATTTTAGTTAACATTGATTTGTCCATCTGACTCGCGAAATCCACTTTTCCGTCAACAATAGTGGCACGTTTTAAAACCTCTGTCGATAGGATTCCAGGTTTAAGTTAATTTTGTTTAACATTAATACAAAAAACAACTCTCCTATGACTCTTGGTTCAAAAGCTCGCCTATTTTCAAAATGGTCGCCATTCTTGTCTCGCGAAATTCACTTTTGGCCCATTTCCTAGCTTTACAAATAATTTCAGCTGTCCTGCATTGTAAAAAGCCATGTCACTATAAAGAGTAGTTGTATGAAATAATTTTGTTACAAAAAATTGGCAAAATATTATATCCATTTTTTTATTTTCAGCCATTTTAGTTAACATTGTCATTGTCCATTTGGTCTCTCAGCCAGTCAACAATAGAAGCACATTTTAAAACCTGGGTCAATAAGATTCCTGTTTAAAATTATTTTGGTTCCTCTTTAATACAGTTGTCCCTCCTGTGAGTCCAGGTTCAAAAACTTGCCTATTTTCAAAGTGGCTGCCATTTGGTCTCTCAGTCAGTCAACAATAGAAGCATGTTTTAAAACCTGAGTCAATAAGATTCCTGTTTTAAATTAGTTTGGTTCCTATTAAATACAGTTGTCCCTCCTGTGAGTCCAGGTTCAAAAACTTGCCTATTTTCAAAGTGGCTGTCATTTTAGTTGCAGAAAATTCACTTTTTGTCCATTCAGTAGCTTTATAACTGATTTCAGCTGTCCTGTATTGTAAAAGAATTAACTTAACTCTATTGAGCCTACCTACAAGATTTTGTTTTGAAGGAACCTGGGCCCTATACTGTCCTGTAATTTAGAAAAGTGTGTTGAACAAATTATTAAAGGTTTTAAAAAACTATATACTTACAGGCCCTACCAACTGAAGAAAAACCCAGTGTAACACCTCAGCCCAGCCAGTTCTCAAACAATAATACAAAAGATATACCATCAACATTGAAGTCAGAGAGCACATACTCCCAGCCAGTGTTATCTTCCAAGCCTAAAGTACCAAGTTCTTTCAATACCCAACCAAGTGCCAACAATACTGAAATGATAGGAGCAGATTTCACCATTCCAGGTAACTGGAGCCTGTTCATTAGACGAGAAATCACACATTGAGTTTTATTGTATGCACATGTAGTTAAACAAGAGGCCACAGAGTGAGTGTTTAGGCTAGCATAAAATTAAGCAAGTTCATTATTTCACATATAATGGAAGAGTTCTTAAATCCTGCAAACATTTTGCAATGACAAAATTCCTGCCTGGATCCTGGTACCTGGACACAATAAAAAAATTTTGGGTACTTTATTGCATTTTATTTAGATGCTTCATGTCCTTTTCTACTGCTTGGTCAAGAGGAATACAGTGAACACTACTCCTCCGTCACTCACTGTAGGTTCAGTCGCTCTAGCAACACTGTGGCAACCTCAGATGCTGATGGTGTTGTCAAGTAAGTAAATATCAAGATTTTTTATAAGTACTTTTGAATCCCTAACATGTGCTCTCAAATATATTTGTACAGACACATCCCTTTAAAGTGATTGAGTCAATTAATAATTCAAAATTTTGCAAAAATAGAACACACTGGATGAAAAGAGTTCAGCGAATACTGCATGAGCCCCAATAATTAGGCCTCCTAGACTTCCAACAACGCGAACATCAGTTCTGGTTCCTACGTTCCTTGCACTCGAACCACGATTCTCATGTCGCGAACGTGAAATCTTTAGCCGTGCATCACCATTTCTTCGGATCCAAACATATTTCTCCACTCGCAAACAGCGATCCATGCTCGCGAACCAGACACCTGATCGAAAATAGTCCGAATTTTGTTTGTATTTTTACAGATAACTAACTAAAATTCCAATGAAGTGTTTGTATTTGGAATTCGGAAGAAATACTTTCCCAGTTTTCATGCATGTTAATGAATATCCACTAATGGAAGATAACAGCATCTTCAAGCTCCAGGAAACACAAAACATTGGGACTACTTTGCGATCCCACGCATTGACATTTTCAGTCAAAGGGCTGGGTAAATAAAAACAAAAACATGGCTTTTCATTGGCTGCGGAGAGTTTATGACTATTGAAATACACGTGTACATGTATAAGGGTCAATGTAAACTGCAACCAGACTCCTGTTGTTGCTTGCAATTGGAATCCCAAATACCCGGATGCACTATGTACACATTGTTCGCGAGCACGGATCTCTGTTTGCGAGTGTTGAAATATGTTCCTGAGCAAGGAAATGGTGCTGCGTGACTGAAGATTTCATGTTCACAACGTGAGAATCGTGGTTCGAGCGAAAGGAACATAGTTCTTGAGCTCAGAACTGATGTTCGCGTTGTTGGAAGTCTAGGAGGCCTGATAATACAATAATAAATGATTATAGCACAAATAAAATTGGCTCTTTACCACTGTAACAGCTCCAGTCTTAATCCCGAAATTGCCACGTACAGGCTGCCAAATCAATCAATTAACTAATACTACAACAAAGCAACCAGCACAAACAACATTCAAACAAGACCGAACAAGCAAACAAGTGGTAGCGTGGTAAGCTGAACGGCCATGGCAACGTGATGAATAGGATTTGAGCTGAATGTGATTGATTGCATGACTATATGTATAGTGCTGTCATATTTAAATAGAAAAAAAATGTTGAAACACTAATTGGTCACAAATGATTTGAACAGAATAATGAAGTGATCAGAATATGGCAGGTTTTTTCGAATATGAGGGTACTTCACTGTTGTTTCATCTGAACCATCAATCAATGACTACAAACAATCAACACGACAAATCAAGTAAAGCTTTAAAAGTTTAATTGTTAATAAATAATTAAGATCTGGTTTTACATCAGTTTTATCAATACAAATCAAAGCAAATTCCATGAATTACATAGCTCTAAAAGCAAAACCTGACTTTAGTCGAATCTGACAAATTACAAACAAATTACAAAGGTCTAGCTAAGATGGCGACTATATTTCAGCCCTCATGATCATGATCAAAACAACATCAGTTCCAAGCTCCTGGTAAAGCAATTTGCAAAAGGTGGCTCTCTGAATAAAATCTCACCCGTGCACTGAGCATATCAAAAATCAGGCCGGATCTTCAAGCCAACAATTACATAATTCTCTCAAAGAAAATCATTCACAATTCAAAATTAGACCAACAGTCCAAATATCATTTTATTCAAGAGTAAAATATGACTGGCCAACCCCGGGTCGCTACACCACCATTGGGGTTTAGCATCACTCAAAAACAATCACAATTTAACATAGTTTTGCTTGAAATCAATGTTTTGGTCTCAGCCTTAATAAGTGTTAAAATGTTGACACTTGCGGAATACATATGAAATTAATGGTTGGTTATATATATTTTACAAGTGGATCCAAGAGACCAAGTGGGCAAGTCCATTATTTTGCAGTGGTGGCAGGATATACACATATCAATTTCCACATATCAGATCTGTAAATTCCGAAATCAGAAGGGAATTCAATAAAAACCAGATTAGAATGCACAAATACCGGATCACAGACTTTTCCAATGAGGGACCTGTTAAATGTTACACCAATAGTCCATTTTCACCACTTGGTCACTCTTAGATTGAGCCAAGTATTGGATGATTGGAGGCAGTTTTGATCAATTTTGCAAAGGGTTAATTTTATTCTCATTTGTCTCAACAAAACAGGAATATCCCAGAATTCATACAGGCATACTTCTCTTATGTAAACTATATCATTGATTGGCCAAGGGCTCATCTATAATCATGGGAAATGACCTCTTCTGGACATAAAGTGTGGGAACATGTGATATGACCTGTTCCCATGGCAGTGTGTCAACTGTCATTTCTCTGGAATGATGTGCACTTTCCTCCAAAAGATTGGAAACAATTGTAGTACAATAAAACCTGTATATCTGAACACTTGGCTAATCCGAACACCTCCCAATTTGAACATTTTTTCCCATTGACTCAAATGTTAAAAAACCTTGAAATGTGAACACCTCCCAATTTGAACAGTGAACAGTCATTTTTTTAAAATCAACCTATCTAATCTGAATACTTTTCATAAAATATCACATGTTCCATACAAAATTGATCAAATATTTGAAAAAAAACTTGAATGATCTCACTCATGGTGGGGCTTTCTAGGATGACTAAATTCGTTTGAATCAGATTTTCATGTCACTGTAACATGTGTAATGCCATAAAGCTATGTAGTCAAAAGAACTATAAATATTTGTTGAGAATTTGTTTCTATTTCTTCAAAATCCCAAATCTTGCAAATCCAAAACCTCGAAATGTGAACACCTCCTAATCCGAACATTTTTAGCTGGTCTCTCGGATTAGACAGGTTTTACTGTAGGTACAATCCCCTCTTAAAGTTACTGAAATCACTTGCTGGGAATTGGTGTTCGCTTACACACAGGTGTTCAATAGAGTAGAATCATATGTTCGCTAGGCATAGATCTTCACTAAAGAGATGTTCATTATGACAGTTTTACTGTACTGAAATCACGGGCTGTGAATTGGTGTTCACTATACACAGGTGTTCAATATAGTAGAGTCATGTGATCACTGGGCACAGATCTTCACTAAAGAGGTGTTCATTATGACAGTTTTACTGTACTGTAATCAATCGCTGGGAATTCACTATATACAAAATAAAAATGTGTGTATCATGCCACCCCTGCAAAATAATTGACTCGCCCAGTTGGTCTCTTGGATCCACTTGCAAAATATATATAACCATTATTGGTTAGGCATAGATCTTCACTAAAGAGATGTTCATTATGACAGTTTTACTGTACTGAAATCACGGGCTGTGAATTGGTGTTCACTATACACAGGTGTTCAATATAGTAGGGTCATGTGATCACTGGGCACAGATCTTCACAAAAGAGGTGTTCATTATGAAAGTTTACTGTACTAAAATCAATCGCTGGGAATTCTCTATGTACAAAATAAAAATGTGTGTATCATGCCACCCCTGCAAAATAATTGACTCGCCCAGTTGGTCTCTTGGATCCACTTGCAAAATATATATAACCATTATGGTTTAACCCTCCCTCCATCATATGTAATAAAATTTGAAAATGTTGATCAGCAGTTTAACAACATTCCTTTATAATGAGTCATCATAACAATAAATTACTGTAATAGGGTAAATCATATAGTTAGCCAGTAAACGAGGCGTATAGCCTTTTATTATTTTTTGTGAAGCCAATCAGTAAAATTACGATTTCTCTGCAACCTGATGTCCAATCAAGATCATTCAAGTATCTATGTGTTCCTGACACGTTTGGGCATCCCGGAATAACAACGTCTACCCAAAGTTTGCACACAAAATTGACGTCATTCATGACTGAATTCAGGAAGACAAACCTTGAGATTCACAAACAAAATTGCATGTGAAAACTATTTACAAAAGTGTTCCAGAGACTCTTATCTACTTGGCTAAGGTTTTGTTTGAAGATACATTGCCTTATTAAGCAGGTAGAGGGGCATAGAGAACACGGAAGCAAATGCTATGTTGAAAATTTTCTATATTTCAGTTTGAACATGTTATTACATGTCACGTAGGCCAGTTACTCCTGTTGCTGACGGGGTCCCACTGAAATTGTAAAAGTTATGGAATTTGACTTTTTCAACCATTAGCATACCCTAGGCTCTAAGAATATATGAGGTGCTTGTCTCAAAAGTGGTCAGCGAATTTTTAATTAGCTATTATAGTGGCGCCCTCCCTTACGGAAATACATTGCTGCAGCAGCGCTGCCCCAGCAAATTGGCTCCAAATGTTGGATGCAGGTAATTGCAGCCAATCGCTCTGGCAGCATGATGCTGCGGCAGCATCATATTTGCAGCAAATTGGCTGCAACAGTGCTGCAGTTAATTGCAGCCTTCCCGGAGCTGGCTGCAAAATTGATATTTGGAGCGAATTGGCTCCAACAGTGCTGCAGTTAATTGCAGCCTTCTCGGAGCTGGCTCCGACAGTGCTGCAGTATCTTCCCGCTCTTTTTAAACCAAAAGAAAAATGGCTGACAAAGAATGTTCAACTGTAAGAGATTTGGGTAATTTTATGATTTTATAACAATAACAATGTAGTATGAAAATGACCAATCAAATATAGATTCAGAAGTTACTGACAAACTTGAACATTCTGCATGTCTATTTTGTGAGAGGTAAAATGTAAGTATTGTTGTGTTATTCCAGTTTAGATGGGCAAATCTTCTTTTCTTTGTGAATTTATAAAGGCTAAATTTTAATTGTATTCATACAGTCAAAGTGGTCAAGCATAAATGTGTTAATTGTACCATGCAGTAAAAATATAAGGTATTTTATAAAGATTATGAAGATAAATACTGCTGGAGGCATAGAGGGTCCTTCAATGACTGTGAGCCTTCTGGCCTTCAGGACAATTCTGAATGGGTAAAATTACCAGTGATGTCCCATAATAATTGCTTATCATCTTACATACCAAGGGCCAACCTAAAATGAACAATTTGCGTGAGATTTCCAAAAATTATGGTACTTTTATGGGAGATTTTTTTCAAAATCTGGTAGTTTTTAAAAAAAATTGTAGTTTTCGCCGAAGATTTTTAAAAATCGGGAGCTTTGAGGTAAATTTTGAAATAACTTGAGTTTTTATGGTATATTTGAAATAAAACTGTACTTTTTTTTAAAAAAAAGCAGATTATCTCATTTTTTCTAATAAAAGCAATAGTTTTTGTGGTAAATTCTGCAAAAAGTGGTCATTTTTATGGGACATTTTTGACAAAATCTAGTTTTTGCAAGAGAATTTTGAAAACACTTTGGACTTTGCCTTAATTAATACACTTTGCATGGCCAGATTTGAATATTCACGAAAATTACATATACTTCGAATTTGTGTTTCCCTATACCCATCTAATTTTACATATTATTTGATGTTTTTGGTTCGTAAAGTAGAAAATAAATTTTGTAGACCATAATGCATCTTGGGTAAGAGTAATGCAACAAATAGGTTTTAAATAGCAAATGAATAGGTAATACTCTGATAATTCTCATCTAACACTACCTTGTTGTTACAATGTTATTTTCATTTAATAATCAGTCAATTTTCTACATGAGCGTTGCAGGTGTTGACATTTTGCATGTGAATGCCTTGTCTTATAATGTAGCCAACTGCAATGGATGTAAAACGGATACAGTTAACCAATACATTTCTTGGCATCAATTCAAATCATATGCTAATTTTAAATGAAAATGCTTTTTTTCATGTTTTACCACTCATAAATGCCATAATATCTCGATGTCACATTCAGGAAAATATGGCTATCAACAAGTTTTGAATTCTTACAATCCTGGAAGTTGTACATGTAAGCATACACATCTGTCAGTTCAGTTTATGTGTAAAAGTTAATCCCCTAAGCCTTAATACCTGATGCATGAAATATTATGGATGAGTTACATAATATGTACTTGTGCTATTTAGGTTCATGTTGTGCTGTTTCACCA